TTGGATTCGATGACAATTGTTGGCCACGGCGTGGATCAGAGCAATGGTTCCGCACGCGTTATGAATGGTCTGACGCATGAAGTAAAGGCCGTCGTCGGCGTCTTCGGCAATGGACTTGTCGTCCATACAAGAGAGTGATGTCAACGACTCGTTGTGTTCATTCACGGGATAGAGAAGAATGAGTGACAGAACGGGTCCGTCGATGAAAGGCAAGAGTTCTTCGTCTAAACCCATCACATCCACAATGCGATAGTCTTCAGACACTCCTATGGACCACAAAAACTTGTTCATCACCTCTGGATTCGACTCAAAGGGCACCCAATGCACGGATTCGCTCATTCTTCTGGAGTGTTCACCGGATCCTAAAGTGTGGTAAACGTGAATATCGTTGAAATGGATTCAATGAATAGACGCCAGACTTCAGCACAAGTGCTGCACTCGTGTCCGCACAACAGACACAACAGACATATTGTCAGCACTCAATACAATCAACGCTTTACTGCAATACAGCTCCACATTCTAGAGACCACTACTTTTTATACCCGGGAAACCATTTTCCCGTTATTTCCTTATATTTTCACTCAATTCATTACATGTTAATTGTATGAAAACATTTGTTTTATTATACATTCTTTATCACAATTTATTTGTTATATAAATAAATGTTTTCAAATGACAACTAAAAAATTAATTTATTTATGTATTATATTTCACTTATTAATATTAATAAATTCCAATTAATATGAGTTATTAATATAGTATTAATTTTTTAAAAAAAATATGATCATATTGCAATATAAAAATAATGCTTAATGATTTATTAATAAGAAATCTAATAGAGTGTTGCAATGAAATAAGTACAGTATTAGAGGGTAGGGCGGAAATGGGAACGGGAATGGGTAGGGAATGGGTAGGGAATGGTGTGTAGAGGTCTATATAGCCTGAATTGGTGTAGTGTTTAGTGTTGTCGTAGAGTTGGTGTGCATTGAGTTGTGAGTGAGTGAGCGGTCGATGAATGCAAGACTCCATTCAGTGTAACGTTTGTCTCGACTCTCGCTTACAATACATTGAATTAGTATTCGTTTGATTGGATTTGAGACCCAATTTGTATGTGATTTGTGTCCACACATCGATTGCAGGCATTGTTTGTGATGTATTGATAGGTTTGGTGTGATTAGTGATGACATTGGGAACCGTTGCCATCGCTGGCATCACTGGCACTACCATTGATGTGGTTGTGGTGTGAATAGTGTTGGATGTGTTGAACAGTTGTAATGCCAGAGATGTGGTGCACGAGTGCTGTCACCACAACCTATCGGTGCTGTCGGAGCAGTGCTTTCGTAGCCATTGTGGTGACCATCGCTTCCCTCTCTCTGTTGTCCACATTTTCCTATGGATTGAGACGCCATTGGAATCAATACAACACCGAAAGCCAACAATCGGTCCGACATCACAGGGGTATGACTCGACTCACCCCCTCTGCGCCCCCAATACACCCCCACTAATGTAGCCAACCCTAGCCCTCCACCCGTACTAATTGTGGTCACATTGTGGGCACACGTCGAGTGATGCCGTAATGGCACACCTTTTGTCAGTTTTATACTATGGTATTGTGCTATGCATTCAATGAGACAATTGTTAGCAAAAAATATCATTTTAGGCCAAAAACAAAGCAAATATAAGGCTCTAATGTTTTAGCGAAATAATGTCTTAATTGTAAGAATGCATTGAATATATGATTGCTTTTTCAATCTTATAGTGTTTTGTTTGCTTACATATAATTACAAGTTTTGATGACTTAATTTTGTGCAAACGAGTCGTACGCACACACACTGTGTATAAGGCTTTGCGAAACCAACAACTCGTTTGACTTGTTTTAAAAGCTATAGCACTGTCTAAGTCGGGGCCGCAGCAGAAAAAACTGGTAACCCCTGTGTTTGACCCCTCCATAGCTTAGGGTACAAAATAGGGACGAAATATATCGTGTATTATAGGCTAAAGTATCGTAAAAAATTTGTTACAAATATTTGCCTCAATAGCGCTTCTCATTGTTTGAACATTAATTAAATGTGCTTTTTATTTGTCCACACAATTAGTCTCTCTCTCTCTCTCTCTCTCTCTCTCTCTCTCTCTCTTTGATTACATAAACTGTATTGACTGATGAACACAAATGAGCACATTTGACACATAGCCATATGATATGACCAAATGGTCGAACTTGAATACCAAAGTAATGGCAAATCAACTATATTTTACTTTTCTGTTGATAAGTATAATATTTGATGATTTTTTGTCATAAGGATTGACAACATTTGATCATTTATTGACCACATTTTTAAAGCCATAGCTCTAACAAGCGAGTAGTAGATAAAATGAATGAGCATGGTGGGTTTTCGGTCTACGACCGTACCCTCTGATGTTATGGCAGAACAGAACAAAACCATTTGTTTAAATAAATAATTGATTGACTATTTCTTAATGGTTTCCTCGTTTGCACAAACTTGAGGTCGGATTAGATGGACATTTGGAGGCATCAAAATGCATGTATTTTCTCATTAAATGATAGACTGATAAATAAATCTGAAGTTATTTTTCGATAATCCAAAAATTGTATCAAAATACTATTATTTTTTATAAATTCCAATACCTGTACTTTCCACGCACTGATTTATTCTACAGTGGTTTTTGCGATAGTGTTGTTTGGTTACTAACCACTATTAGTTATAAATTGAAAATTATATATAACTAATTGGAATTTTATATTCAAATTATTATTGAATACATTAATAGTGATAAATATGACATTTTCATTAAGTTAAATGTACACAATTTTTATTAGCAAAATAAGTGATTAGTTAATGAAACACTAGGGCCGTCATTGAATGTTCAAAATTGTGCGATTTAATAGTATTGACCACATTTCTCACTATTATCAAGTGTCTCTGGGATAGCGTTGTGTCGAATAGTTCGAAAATGGTTAATTTGATTTTAAATCTCTTCACCGAATTATGATCAGATAACACCAAAATCGAATGCATTATAATTTGATATAATTATTCAACATGATAGTATGCTTAATATCGATTTTAAAAATAGCCTATTTTTTGTTGAATTCAATGAAATGGATGAATACAATTATTGGGGTACACACTGTGTCAATATGATACATTAGATGCCAGGGCCACCCCTGACTTTTTTTTAAATGTTAATCAATGTGAAATACAGAGTTTTAGGCCCTTGTATATTATGAAACATTCTGTAAGTTGTCGTATAAAAATGAAACTACTGGATTTTAATAATTCCTTTTCTATATTAAATATTAGTTCCTGTTCTACAAATGTTATATTGCGAACATCACTTTCCCCCTTACATTTCCCCTTTTTGTTAAATAAAATATTTAACATTTTCAAAATAACAATATTGAAAGTATCCTAACAATAGTATTGAAAATGTTGATGCATCTCCCGAACTGTGGTTAAGCTTTAGCATAACGTGTTCACCTTGTTTTCTTATAAAAGATTATTATTTTTGATTAGGATGTGATTGTAAACCAATTGGTGCTTATTTTACAGAACATGTGCGAGAGTTCAGTTGCGGTCGATTTCATTACCGGACTTTCTATTTGGACGCTGAAAGGGATGCGCTATATGTGGGAGCGATGGATACGATATATCGTTTGAATCTAAACAATATAAATAAGACTCGATGTGAGACGGATTCGTTGTCGTTGTCACCAAACAATGTGGGCTCCTGTGTCTCAAAAGGCAAATCAGAGCTTTACGACTGCAGGAATCACATCCGAGTGATTGAGCCCATCGGCAGTGATAGCAATAAGTTATATATTTGTGGTACTAATGCTCACAACCCTAAAGATTGGGTCATTTATG